AGAAAACTGTGATGAATTTTGAGGAGAACCGCTATGTCTTTCATCGCTTGATGCCTGAATTGAACACTCTTATATAACAGAATGACACTGATACACGAAACTTAATTTTCTTCAGCATTCATTCCTCGTCGCACAATAGACAAATCCACCTATGAAGAGATATGCAAGCCAGTGTAACCCCCTCCCATTAAATGCTTAATGAACGAATAATATAGGACAATCGTTCAATTTTGGTCGACTATTCGCAACGTCTCACATCAAAAAACGAAGCTGAAAGAAGATAACACCTGATCAATCTCCAGTCGTGGAAGGATATTACGTCGACAAGTTGCGATACACGTTTCAGCACTTGGTTCATCCTAGAAATGAACACTTTATGTAATTTGATTCAAGCAACATATACAACTTTCATTCGAAAAGCAATACCATTGCAACTAAAGTGCGTCAGTAATTCGTTCGTTGTGAACAACTTCTCTGCACAGATGAATGGATATTTTTCGAAATAAAAATGGAACCAAAATGGACTCAGATTTGTGTCCCAACTCATTTTTCGAATTAACTTAATATCACAAGCTGAAATGAACATTTCACCTCTTCTGTAATACGAATACTAATTCTTTTCGCTAAATTAATATAAGTTCCTCAAACAAATTTTCCGTTCGTTTTATCTATTCATCATTCGTTCATTTATTAACGAATCTTCCTCTCAAACATTGACCTAAAATTTTCTCTACTCCCCTCCAATGATTTGTAGAATGGAGGCGAGAATAATATAAAAATCATGAAGATGAAAAATTACATCTAACAGTTCGGGTGAATCAGGCATTTTAATAACGCCAGGTATTTTGCCGGATCTTGGAGTGATATCGATAACCACGGGTTCCGCATTAATACAAACGCGCTTTTTACTTAGGTACGCTGATGCTTTCATCGACAATCTTCGGGCCGCACGCTGTGCTGCACTCAAATGCAAAATTGGTCGAACTTGCTGTGGTACTGGTTCAAAACAGAACTGAAATATTTGTCTCATTGAAGTGTTTTCTTTTACAAATTAACCATTACCACTTCATTACATCTGAATGTTCGCTCAATAAAAAGTAGTGGTCATACGTGGCCATACTCAAAAACATAAGGCAATGCGTTGATGGAGTGAATCTTTAATAGTGACATACTTCACCATCAAACAATTTTCAGCTCGGAAATGTTCTCGAAAGTGGACAACTTTTTTGAATTTTGTCACTAATTCGATAAGCGTCAGATTACATAAAAGACGCTTGTAATATCATCGATTTCCTGATAAAAATCAAAAACTATTTTCTTTATTAATAATAGCGAAACCTTGCTCTACTTATACCATTTCCTACCAAAAAATGAATGATGAGAAAAACGCATGAAATTTAACCTCAAAATTCCGTTTAAGCTTGGAATTATTGTTTGTTGGTTGATATCTTGAAACTGTAGTTGATTTACGTGATGATCGACGAACGGTCACCAGTAAATCTGATTTGCAGTTGGACGAATCGATTTGTTTTTCTGTTGATTCCTGCTGACAGCTATCTTCTGAACTGTC